TTCAGCAGACTGAGCGCAATAGTCCGCCATGTGGAGCCTTGCATCTGGGCATTGGGTTCGAAAGTTGATTGGTATTATAGATATATGGGAATTGAAGGAAGCCTGCCAGCTCCACCCCTGATCAACCCCTGATCAATGAAATCTTTACAAATGGGGGGTGCAACCCGATTTCTTGTTGCCCTGGTCGTTGATCCACAGCTAGCTACATGCAAAGTGCAACAATCACTATTCGTTTCAAGGGGCAGCAGCAGCGGAGCGCCCAGCTTCAAGAGGAGCTGGGAAGCTCTCCGGGAGAGCGCCAAGGGACATGTTTGCCATGACGAATCGTCCCCGGGCATGACTCGGGTGAAAACACTAGGCTAGCTAGCTAGTGAAAACTAGGTCGGAGCACCCAAACAGATCGCTTGATCGAGGAAAGCACGAGACAGTTCGTATGTCACGCATGCAAACGATACTGGATGAATTGTTCCACAAGTTGCCCATGAAATGAAAGTTGCAGTACACAACATGGACTCATTGTCGCTCACTTGCTTTGACCACTTAGCTACAACTCTGGGCTGCCCAATACCAGATTCGGTATGCACCCTAGCCAGAACTGATTGCTAAGAAAAGGTATCAATTTTAAACATATGGCTAAACTCCCCAACGAACCCAGCAGCACCAACACTCTCGAATATATATTTATATATTTATATATATACTGCATGCACGCATCACGCATGCAGATCCATAGATCGATAGATCGATCAAACAATAAAATAGTTCTGCCTATGCTGGGCTTTGGTGGGGTACCCGCGACTCCGGTGAGCTGCACGGGTGGCTCTGCTCAAAATCCACCCAGCCGGCAATCTGCTTCGCCAACCGCCACCTCAGGCTGCAAACATTGCAATCACGACCGATTTGGATAGAAGATGATAGAAGCTTTCGTGCAAGAGAGCAGCTCATGACTTTTGACTGCACTCATTGGGAATCTAGAATATCAAGAAATTGCTTGTTCCACCGATAGCTGGGATTTGGACGACAAGATGGCTCCCCTCGTGCTCCAATAAAGAGACACACCATGTTTCTTGTTCACCTCGTTCCAGTGGTCGAAACATGATCTATATTTGTTGTGGCTAGATCGAAAGAGTTAGTTTAGAAGGGACTCACAAAGTATCAGCCTTCAAACTCATGGCATTCTTCTCATTGATGAAGTTCACTGCGACGACACTGGCTTTGTTCACGTAGAACCCTGCAGGGTGCTGCCTCATGGGTTGTGAAAACGGGTGCTAGCACAGACTTGAGTGGTATATGTGAGTCTCCGGCAAAACTCCGATCGATGAAGGGGATTCAGAAAAGGCTTTCTCTGGTGGCTGCACGGTGAACGACCTCACTTCAAATTCTTGGTCCAAATAAGCAATGCTGATGTCCTAATCTCAGGTGAGGCTATGGCTTGACTTTGTGCAAGTCCGAAGCTCTTGGCACCTTGAAGGACGGGTCTTGGTCGGAAAGGGCATGGAGACCAGACAGATTCCATCCCTGCGCACACAGTAGGTTGCACATCGATCGATCTCTGCAAAATGGACTGAATACCAGCTAGCCAGGAATCAGTATTGAAAGACGTGTGATCCTGCTGTGCATGTTTATTTGACAGAACTTGACGGCCGCCTCCTGCTCCTTTTCTCTTTTGGCCTCACTCTTTTCCTGTTCTTTATCAGTGTTCTTCTTCTTCTTTGCTTTGCTTGCCGCCTCTTTGGTCTCACCAGGCCCTTCCTCAGCATCAGCTGCTCCACCATTTGCAGCCTCCTGTGAATTCCTCTTCCTTCCTCTCGGCTTGGCCTCCTTTGCACTCTTCACCTTCTTGTGCGCTTCATCATCATCACTATCATCATCAGTTCTCTTTGTCTTTGTCTTTCTCTGATTCCCAGACTCTTCCTGGGCCTCCTCTCTTTCCTCGGGATCTCGTTTCTTCTTCTTTTCATTGCCTTTCTCATCTTTCTTCTCAATTGGCTTGCTGTTGTCGTTACCTGTCTCTTTTCCCCTCCCTCGACCTCTGCCACGTCCCTTTCCTCTGCCCTTTCCCCTTCCCTTTCCTGTGCCTCCCTTCTTCTTCTCGTTATCCTCATCATCTTCCGAGCTTTGCCCATCCCTGTACTTCCGATCAGGGTCTTCCTCCTCCACCTCGCCTTCTTTTAACGACTTCTTCAAAGCTGCTCTGACCTTTCGTTGGGCCTTCCGGGCAGTGCAGTGCGGTGACAACATGTACCGGTTCGTTTGGTGTACATCAATCTAATTAAAATTAGATGCGGTTTAAACGGTAGCTCGCCTTGACAAGATCGTTTGAGTCCATTGTCAGCTCCTCAAGTTCTTTACACATTTCTTCCACCCTTGCTTCCAAGCTTGCTCTCTCCATAGGCTTAGAACAGACAGGCTTTCGATCCTGGCAAACAGAGGGCTCACTTTGTGCGCTAGCTACTGGGAAACAGAAAAATTGGTGGTGAAAACGGTGGGCACGCAGTCCTTGTTCAAAATCTTTTCCGGTAGATTGCCTTTGATAGCATCCTCGTCATCACTAGTGATTTCGCGTGGGGCGCCTTCAAGATCTCGAAGATTTGGAGGGTCACTCTTTTGTGATAGGCCCATCTGGTTGTCTGGGTACTCGAGCCATTCTGGTGGAGACTCCTCGACGTATACAACATTTGCTTTCTTTGAGCTCTCTTCCTTCTGACGTTCCTGTTCCACTTCATCATCATCACCCTCAACCTTCTCAGCAGGTGCAATCGGATCCGGTCCATTGTTGACTTCTTTCATCTCGCTTTTCTTCCTCTCCTCGTCTTCGCCTTCGCCCTTCTCGTCCTCCTTCTTTTCTTCAGTCGACTGCTGAATCTCACCTCCCTCTTCCTTGGTGTTTTTGCCTGCCTCACCTTTTGCTTCAGCATCACTTTCTTGCTCTTCGTCCTCCTGTGTCAGCTTCACCTCATCGTCATGTCCATGGACCTCCTCTTCCACTTCAAAAGGTAAACTCTCATGATGCTCACCCAGCTTTGCCACCTCTTCACCATTCTCCTCTTCCACCACTTCAACGACTTCTTCCGCTTTGCTTTCTTCCGTCGACGTGAAGCTTTCCTGCCAATCTTTGAGGATAATCGACCGACCGATTAATTAATATAATAGGAGCAACAAATAATTAAATTCATGGGCCGACCTGGGATTCTCTTTTTTTGGGCCCTCGTGTAGCAACTTTGCGGCCATCCTCCCTGAGGAGCCCAGCCTCCTAGCCAAGCCGATATCAAACAAGAAACTACTAGATATTGCACCAATCTCAGGGGTCCTCCAAAGTTGCGCGAACGATTTCTTTCAGTTCGTGCATCCGGGGATGGTTTGGCCTGGGCAGGGGGCAAATGCTCCATGTGCATGTATAGTGTGCATGTTGCAACTGTACACACTAGCTATATAGGCCTCGCTTTGGCATTCTTCTGGAAGCGTGTGAGCACGTATGCAGCGAGTCCACGATGGAGGCTTGATTCTGTGATACTCCATGCCTCCACCGAAAAACATGTCGATCAAGGCCCTAGTTGGGGTTGTGGCGAACTGGTTTTATCTATATAATATACTTGCCTCATGCTCGAACTTGTCCCTGAACTGGGGGTTGAGCACGAAGTGCATGCTGACCCACTCCAAAGCAATCTGGCCGACAGGCAGAAAATGTTGGAACTAGTTGGGCCCTTTAAACATGGAAGGTATGCCTCTCCTTCCCTCTTGCGAGGCATTTTGGCTGCAAATGTAGCCAAATAATTTGCCACCAGCGGATAGTTGATGCGGGACTCCACCTGAAACCAAAGGTGGATGCATGAGACCAAACATGATATAGATTGAATATATTAACTAGTATATATTCTCCACTGCATGCTTACATCCTATGATCAGCTGAACAAGCAGCCTCGTCCTCGGTGATTTCCAACCGCTTTTTCTTCCTCTGGGGACTTTGGTTGTTATTGGACTGGGTGGCGGCATTGGACTGGGTAGACGCATCCTGGTCGTCCCCCTCGGACTTGAAACCAATCTCGACCATGGAGAATTTAGGCACCTGGGAAAATATCGACCATGAAAATCCGGTATGAGCAAGTGAGAAATCGATCCAAGTGTCCAGTGTTTAATTGAAGTCGAACGAGGTTTATCAATCTAGGTGACCAACTCGCCGGTCCTTCGTGGACAATCCCAAGCGCGCTTTGATTTCCCCCCTCCGGTCAGCAACATAGTTTTCACCAGCTGACGTGATGAAGTCCTGGTAAAAGGCCTGCCACTCAAACGCCCACCCAACAAATATTGTTTAAGCTACTAGCCTAGCCAAAAGGATTCAATGGATTGTTTGGCAGCTTCATGTTCTGATGCGCCTTCAGGAGTTCTACCATCTCTGCGCGAACTGGTGCCGGCATTGCTGCAAACAGAGATCAAGATTAGAGAAAAAAAGGTTTTGGCAGCCAGTACCATGTGCGTGTTTCAAGCTCTAATTGGCTAATGTTTTGTGGTCCCAAATCCATTAGCCGTTCAAGAGCATGAGCCTAAATCACAGTATACAGGGCACAACCATGGGCGCATTCATGCCACACATCTTCAAACATAAAACATCAGAAGCATTGGCGCAGTGGGGGGCGCACAATCTCGTGCTTCTTCAAAATCATCCAGCAATCGTGAAGCAAGGGCGGCACGCAAGGTCATTGCATTGCATGATTGATCAATCAATCTAGCTTGCAGTGTTGATTCCAAGTCTTCTAGTGTCTTGGAAAGTGTGTGCAGTAGGTTGATAAATATGAACAAGGTCCTTACTCATGGCCACTCTCATGGCTTTGATCCCAGAGGCCTGCCCTCCATGGAGCCTCTCCACAGACCCCCCCCGGCAAGGCCTATAAACGTCCGCCAGATCCAGGAAACAGTCTAGACGGTTTTTATATGGGCTGGACGGTTTAAAGAATAGTCGAGGACGTTCTGGGGAAAGCATCACCACAGGTGTGGTCCCCGGCCTGCTGACCCAGGGAAGTTTCTCGCGGCCAGTGCGGCCACACGCACGTCGTGTGGGAGGCGAACGGTCTTGAAGCCTTGGGAGGCCACATGAGGCACGGTCAAAAGTGATTCTCTGCTTCTATTGCATCATAATCATCTGTGAGCCGCCTCTCATTTACCCAATGTTTTAGACTTTTGTTAAAGGATACTATAGATTACTACAGTGTTTCTTTTTGGTGATTCCTCTATCATTTGCCAGGGTTTTGGAGCTATATATTGTGCAACGTTCTTGTGCAAACCACATCATCGCACACTTCCAAAGCACATGGCGGACGCATGTGGAGATTCGGAGAGGAGACGCTGTGGAACGTCCAAATCTCCACAGCTTGCAGTGCCCAGCATGCAAACTCCTATTCTCGGACTGGAGGGCAGTTCCAGCGGTCATGGCACACGAGAAACGGGTGGACTCACTCACCGTAGCGATTTCGATCATGCCTGAGTAGTCCAAAAGCTCTTCGTTTCTGGGGAAGAACCGGTCGGTGCCCCAAACCGCGCCGCTCCGGAGAGCTTCCGCCGCGCTGCTCGTGGAGCTGCTCGTGGAGATCACCTGCACCTGGAGATCCCATGAGATCGCGGCGGCGGAGGCGTCCGAAAAGCGGAACTCGCCCAGAAAAGCGGTCCGGGTGTGGTTTTTCTTGGTGGCATGACCCAAACACTCCATGGGATTGCCATATATGCCGATCAGTTGGAGTGGTTTGGGGGGTCAATGTATAGGCATATATGGCATACATGGAGTCTCTGGGTGATGTGACCATCGTGATTTTTTTGTGCCACCCGTGGTCAACGGGCTGCGTACGTCAACAGACTCGGCTTAGACCACCTCACTTGAACACATGTCACTTGAAGTGGCTTTCGACTTTCGATGGACGGTCTGTTTGTCCCTCCCGAACCTCAGGAGAAGGAACACGACCGTGACACCGGAAAATAGAAGCGTCGAACCCGCTCACCTTCGATAGTAAGGTGGCAGTGGATCCCTATAGGCAGGGCTTACGTATACATGAATCAAAGGAACAGTGTCAAGTACGGAGCCATGATGATGGTATGGAGTCTTGGGGGTTGTCGTCTGTGTCGTCGTTGTTGATCTTTCCAAAAATTCTACTCATACCGTTGTTCATCTTTACTCATATTGCCGGATGAATCTCGAATCCTGCACTCCTACACTCTATCTTGCTGTGTTCTGTCAAAAGCATCATGTCAAAAGAACCCTAGTTATAACCACATCCACATCACGCCTCACCGTGGTGCACGTGGGGGACCCCGCCTCATGATGAACTGCCAATGCCGCCTCATCGGGGCCCACAAAGAGCACCACGTTCAAGCCGCCTTCGAAACCACCCCAACGCCTGCATTGACGTTGTGTGGCGCATTGACGTCGTTGTCGTGCTCGTGTGGAGGTTCCCTTTTGCTATACACACCGACTTCGTCGTACCTCCTCAGGTTCGGTATGACTGGGACCCGAAAATGGCACCCACCCCTGTCCCACCTTCGAATCGCATGTACTGGAGGCCGACTCGGGTTCCTCAAATGGCAGTTCACCTCGAGTTCGCTGGGCTCTTCACGTCATAGGATCTTTTGGCTGGGACATGTGACAAGTCAAGGCTGTCGGAGCACGGAGCACGGAGTGGGACGCGCCACTCCGTGGGACTCCCAGTCAGTCCCGCTTGATCAAATCAAAACATCATCCCTCTTCAAGCCATGTGTGATTCTTCAGGTGAAACAAAACAGTTGTATACAGCATTATGCAGTTACAATATATATTTTTTATATATATATATACATGCAATAAGCGCTGTCGCTTCTGTCTACCTACGTATACTGATGTCTACGCGAGTCCCACTCCGCAAGTTGGTAAAACTAACAACCTTGGAACCCCGAGCGACCGTTGATCGTGGCTGGAACGACTCATTTGAGTGGTCCTGCCAAACTGAAAGGTGCATCGAGGTCAACTGCTGAAGAGGTGGAGAAGTTGGGAATGCTCATATTGAGCCTGTTCCCGCGGTAGAAATCGCGCGTGATCTCACGCAAGACATCGGCATAGCTTGGGTTTGGAGTGCGCATGCCAGCAATCGCCTTGGCCAGCATGTTCGTGAGAAAGTAGGATCCCCGCAATGAAGGCCCGCTTTGGTCACACCACGTCTGTTGAGTTTCCCGGTCTTTGCAACCTGACAAGCAAAGGACACTGGCCGCACATGGCCTGCCTTTCAATTCTTTGCAAATCAAAGGCCGCTTGTCGAAGTTGAAACCAGGGGGTGGTGGCTCCTGTCGCCGTGCGCGTGCCATCTCCTCATCCTCCACCTGCACCTCGTAGGAGTGCTTTAGATCTGCCATAGTCTGGCTGTGACAAGCATCAAAGATGGTGGTGAGGCGCACCCCCTTAGGCAGATCTTTCAACATCTGCTCAAAAATCTCGTCATCGCTGATCGCACGGCCCAGAAGGTCATCTGCTTCTTCCTTCTCCAAGGAGCCCTCGAGTGCAGCTGCAAACTTGGGATGTTGCCCTTGGATGACAGGACAGATGTGCTCGTCCTGGCCATCCTCTTCATCACCGTCAGCGTCTCTGGACTGCCCACCATGACCTGCAAAGAAGAAAAGCAGATTGTCTCCAGGCTTCGCATCTTGCACCAGCCATTTCATAGAGTTCAGGATGTTCTTCCGCGTGGGTGCCTCATGTGTCACAGCCCAACCACCTGGCTTGGTGGCATCAGTCAAGATCTTCAGCTCTGGAGTCCTGACCTTGGCGTGCTGCAACGCAACCTGGATGTCTTCCAAGGCACCAACCGATCCGAGGAGTACCTCAAGCCGACCCAGCAAGGGTACGTTGTGCTGGCTGCTTTGGTATGTGGGTGCAACCAGAACGGCCTTCACCACTGGTGCATCCCCTGGCACTGGAGGTACAGGAGGGATCGGCTGTTGGTTTGGAAAGGGCTCCATCGACTCCGTGCCTCCCATGGGCATCCCGTGGCCATCGGGCCTTCTGCGGCTGTGGCCGTCTTGGATCTGAGCCACCAGTGCATCAAGCTCGGCCATCTTCAAGTCCACGAACGCTGGATCCGTCCGGAGGATCTTTCCCATGTCGAAGGTGGCGTCGCCCAGCGAGTGGAGGTGACCCGCGGAGCGTACCTCTTGGTGGATCGCCAGCTCGTGTCGTCGACGAGCTTCTTCCTCCGTTAAGATCTCCTCGGTTGAAAGGTCTGGAGCTACGCAGCACGAGAGCATTGGAGCAAGATCCAGCAAGACTTCCACGCTACGCTTTGAAAGAGAGCCCGAGCCTGGGATGATGGCCGCGGAAGAGATCCGAACAACACACTCAAAGAACAAGACTGTAGTCCAACCGCTGCCAGTTCCATAAACCCTTTTCTTCGCATGTGTTTCTTGCTTTTTGTGGCTGAGCTGTTCTTTGTTCTTCCAAGAAATCGCTATTCAAGTGCTGCCGTTCTACCAACACAAAAATTCCAATGTCTGGGTGCTTCCCTATTGAAATACACACGGGGACCTGTGAGCTTCCCCCGACCCATCGCCTCAGCAACGAGCCCTCCAAGCTCCACAGAATCGCCTCGTCCTGTGGGGCCACCGGGTCTTCCGTGAGAGACAGGGACTCTTGTCCAAAGCATCCCTACACCTCCACCCTATGGATCCACTGCCACCGAACCAGGATGAACCAGTGAGCAGGGAGACAGGCTTATGTAGGCGCCAGCCAGTCGGGTCCAATTGCCTTCTGAGAAGGTGGCAGTGGATCCATAGGGCCACGTAATTACCTCCTCAGGTTCGGTCTGACTAGACCCTCCTGGCCCCCGGGCCCCCTGTCCCACCTTGTCAGAAGGTGCGACTGGAGGCCTAGGGCATGTCTCTCACACATATACTAACATTGCCCATCATTGCCCCCTGAAAGCACCCGAAGAGTGGGCATCATATTATCCATACATGTCCATACCCATGACATGGAGTGTCTGCTTTTGGTTAGAACTACATGGAGTTCACAGCCCGGCTTGGACATGACTTGCTGATGCTCACGTCATCTGAGAACTGTGACTCCCTCATCCGACAGATCCATCACGACAAACCTCGACAAACCATCTGCCGTGACCGTGACAGAACTTGAGATTGGATTCTCACACACTCTTGAGTCTTGAGTAAACTGAACTAGATTCTTTACAGATCCCAGGATTCTTTACAGGCCTGTAAACAGCCTATTGGATCGGATCTTCTTTTTCTGTGCCCCGACCGGACGCCGACGGACGCGCGGCTCCTTGTCCCCCGACAACACCGTGTCGCCGTTCAGGTCGACCGTAAGGACGGCCGTCCGGTGACCCAGAAGCTCCAGGAGCATCCGGCAGTCTTGTGTCAAATCCCACACCTTCCTAGGAGCTGAAAACGGCTGAGACCGGCGATCGCATCGTTTTCTTTGGTGCGAAAAAGATGAACGGGTCGAACGGGAACCTCGCGACCTCGAACGGGGGTTGGGTGTGTTTAAGGCATGCTGGGGCTCAAAAGGAATTGTTAATACCTATTAGCAGGGTCTGGGTGTCAATCCCTGACAAAACAGAACGAGAATCAAAGTAGTCCTCAATGAACTGTGAGCTCTGAGCGGAGAAAGGCAGGACATGCCGTGTATTGCACCGTGTATTGCGTTTGCAGAATGGAATTGTGCCTCTCCCCACACATTCCGAAGATTCATCATCCGTAGTGAATGACCGGGCTACAGAAATCGGAGCAGGACGGAGTCATCAGGCTACAATCAGGCTACAGTCATGATACCTTGAGCATGATGATACCGTGCTTCCAACCCATTGTATGTGTTTATTTTACTATAATAATGTCTTTGTTGAAGAACAAAAACTCCAATAAGGCATATGGGGACTGCCTGAGAACAGTAGCCAACATCTTGTACCCCTAGTGGCTAGTAAGGCTAGTAATTAGCTTGATTTCATCACTAGAAACAAAACATGTTCGTGACTTGTTTCTCCTTCTCCAGTTCATGTGCGCACGTGTTCGAAAAGAATTACTGCCAAACCAAGATTCACTGAGAGATCGTTTGAAGCACTGGCCAGCAACGTCCCGTCTCGGTTTACAGCAAGGGATCTCACCTTGGACGCAAGGCTTTTTACCAAACCAAGGGCGGCATCTGCCTCCGAGCGACGACGAAGTCTGAATAGGCCAAGTCATTCAGGTGAGGACCTTCTCATAGAAACAAAAAGAGACGAACTGGGCAGCATGGGAACGACTGCAACATATGTGATGATTCTGCGCATTAGATACCCCCCTTACCAGGCCCTTACCTGCTTTTCGACCCTCCCAGTCGCTCGCCGGCGTTTCGACCCTCGCGTGTTTTGGGGCCCAGTGGACCCAATCCTGGTGCAGCTGCAGGGTGCGCTGCAATGGTCCGCCGACGCCCTGCAAGGTCCCGGGCGAGACCTGGGCGAGCGCGGTCTTGGACCTTGAGACCGGGTGTGACTGCTGCCTGTGCCCCGGAGGTTCTTGGGGCGCGAGGCTTTTTGGGATCTTTTTGGGGCTTCTGAAGCACTTGAAAGAGCACAGCAAGAACAACATTGTTTTTGGTTTCCATGAAAGTCTGCTGCCAAATAACCGGGATCAGGAAGTCTTGAATGTTGCCCAACCATGGATGTCAAAACAGTCTGAACAAGTCACCTGGAGGTCAAGTCCTGCTTGTCAGTGTTTTGGACCAAGAAGTCGGGGGATCCAATCAAGAAGCCACTGGACATCAAGAAACCACTGGCGCTCCAACTACCTCCGTTTGCAAGGTATTTGGCAAAATACACTTGGAGTGGTAGTACCTTCTGATAAGGCATTTGAAGACGTTCTGAGCCTGAGTCTTAGGAAGATATGAACTGTTGGTGTCAGTACCGTGAAACCCAACCCGAATCACCCCAAGATTCAGCCACTAGAGACGATAGCTAATTTCCAAAACGACACTCCCTGAAACAGAATATTCTGTTGCTCCTCTTTCAGGGCTGTTGTGTTGTGGGGAATGTCAATAGAGCCTTTCTCATCATGAGGACTTTGGAATCCCAAAGCCCCGTCAGGAAAACTGGCTGGAAAGAACTTAGGCACCAGCAGGACAAATGCTGGCTTTCCACTGCTCTTTCCCGTTGAAGACAGGGTAGACCCCTGCCTGTCACGCCGATTCCTCGACGCTTCATTCAATGAGAAAGCACATTGATGCCATCAATGCAGTAGAGAGTTGGCTGGAACACAGTACACTCTCTGGAACTAACATGGAAGTGGAACGTGGTCCCTTGGAAGACCTTTTCCTCTACAGAGGGTTTTCCACTTCCAGTGTTAGTTACAGGGAGAGTAAAGGTTGGAGGGTCACCCCTTGCGATCTTTGCCAAATCCCAGGATGATCTGCCCGTGTTTGAGGGCCTATGCAAAATGCAGGTCAAAGCATTTGGGTGTGGGTCGCATCAGCCTTAGTTTCTGACCACGCGCCAGTCCTGGTGTCAGGCTATACAAATGTCTCAGTGATGATGTGCAAGTCTCCAGTGTGAGCCGGAAAAGACACAAACAAACGTAGGATAATTCTATCAGTTCATCTACATGTGCTTAAAGCAATCTGTCATTTTCTGTTTGATCACTTCATGCAGGGTTGTGCCCAAAGTGCACCCAGCCAGCATGCTGGAACTTGGATCAGCACTCTACCCAGCACAGCACTCTACAGAGCACCACCATGCACCACCTGCATGGTATCGCCACGTTCAAAGTCCCGCCCGCACCGGGCACCATTGGCCTCCAGGGCACCGGTGGCTCGTGCGCGGAGCTCTTGCAAGGCGCCATCTGCGGTCCGGCGACACCGTCCGGCTGCGGATTTACCACGGAGCCTTCAAGGGGGTGAACCCAAACACGGCGCGGATTGACCAACGACCTGTTTTTGCAGAACACACACGCATATATATATATATATACTGGCCACCCATATTTTAGGGGAGTAAGCAGTATTTCTATGGCGGTGTGTACTGCAATGTATGGCCGTACATGTCTTCTGTCAGGAGATCACAATGCCCTGGGACCAGGAGCACCCCTTTGGAACATGACCGGAGGGGTGCTGAATGTTTACGATGTGTTCGCTCAAAACATCGTAAGCATACTGCTCAAAACATCGTAAGCATACTGCTCAAAACATCACATGGGGGTTGTTCAAAAGTCCTTTCATTTTTTTCCAGGCCTTTCGCAGGACCTTCGCGAAGCTTACGCAAGCTTTCGCGCGTGGGGTTTTACCACTGTCGGCGAAAATGGTTTTTCGTTGGGCTAGAGGCTTTCAAGGATTCATGCAGTTGCCCTGGCACGTCTTGTGTCCTCTGACCACTGACACATTGATTGCTGAGGAACAGGAAGCCAGCCAACCAAGCAGTTCTCATGTTGGTGTGTTTTTGGTTGGGCGCAACCCTCCATGAACAAGAGAGGGCTCAGTCAGGCCAGTTTGCTCAGACTTCCAATTTGCTTTTTCCCGGGCCGGGAAAAAGCAAAATGGTTCAGAGTTCCAATTTGCTTTTTCCGGGGCCGGGAAAAAGCAAAAGCAAAATGGTTCAGACTTCCATTTTGCTTTTTCCCGGGCGTGGAAAAAGCAAAATGGTTCAGACTTCCAATTTGCTTTTTCCCGGGCCGGGAAAAAGCAAAATGGCCAGACTTCCAATTTGCTTTTTCCCGGCCCGGGAAAAAGCAAAATGGTTCAGGCTTCGAATTTGCTTTTTCCCAACCCGGGAAAAAGCAAAATGGTTCAGACTTCCAATTTGCTTTTTCCCGGGTCGGGAAAAAGCAAAATGGTTCAGACTTCCATTTTGCTTTTTCCCGGCCCGGGAAAAAGCAAAATGCTCAGACTTCCAAAATGTATCAGCCTTCCAGTTTGGAACCCGGCCTGGAAACAAGGAGCGCCTGTGGGGCTCGAGCCCATGACCTTCTGCTTATAAGCCTGGCGCCTTATCCATTAGACCACAGCTCTCCGAAAAATTTGCTTCTTCCTGGCTTTCCAAAAGCAAACTGGATGTCCAATCTGCTTTTCCGTCTCAAACTTCCAATTTGCTTTTTCCCGGGCCGGGAAAAAGCAAAGTGGTTCAGGCTTCCAATTTGCTTTTTCCCGGGCCGGGAAAAAGCAAAAGGCTCAGAGTTCCAATTTGCTTTTCCCGGGGCGGGAAAAAGCAAAATGGTCAAGACTTCCAATTTGCTTTTTCCTGGCCCGGGAAAAAGCAAAATGGTCCAAACTGCCAATTTGCTTTTTCCCGGCCCAAAATGGTCCAGACTTCCAGTTTGCTTTTTTCCAGGCCGGGAAAAGCAAAATGGTCCAAACTGCCAATTTGCTTTTTCCCGGGCCGGGAAAAAGCAAAATGGTCCAGACTTCCAGTTTGCTTTTTTCCAGGCCGGGAAAAAGCAAAATGGTCCAGACTTCCAATTTGCTTTTTTCCGGGCCGGGAAAAAGCAAAATGGTTCAGCTTCCAGCAAGAAGAGTGGAGTGGGGTGGGGTTTGGCCCTGTCGTCTTTCGCGTCCACAATGCGAACCTTTCGCCATACTTGCGCAATTTCCCACGACAAAGAATTTTCCAAGGGTCGGGAAAAAGCA